CTAGAGGAAGCAAAGGAAGAAACAAATGAATGTGGAGCTCAGCTAATAAACATGAAAACAATCAGGAGAAATATTGGTAATGGTTTTTGTTCAGGATTTGCTTTCTGTGACTTATAAGATAGCCAAATAACCCCAAATAAGGGCTCCTAAGATTGCATCGTGGCTAGGCCTTTGAGTGGACCATTTTCTTTGGCATGCAATGACTAGCTACTTTCTCTTTTTTTTTTTTTCCCTAGGTAGGGATCCCATTTAAGCCTCCGCCAGTTCCAGAAATTGCTGTAAAGATTATTCAGCAATGTGATTTCAGGGATCACTTAATAGAAACTTTTAGCTGGGTTACAAAATTTTGCAGTTACCTGAAAGCAAGACCATTATACATATACATATACATATACATATACATATACATATACACACACACACATACACATACACACACACAAAGTTTTTACCTACTCTAACAAAGACATGTCTTCTGCCACTTACCTTTGTAGGATCCTGCTTGCCGATTTGCGCTAGGGTCTGAATTGCAACGACCTGGATGTATTCAGGATATTTAGCAGTCTCACACAGGACTTTTATATGTTTCTGGCTGCTGATCTGACCGGCATTGCCAATAGCTTTCATGCCTAATACCATTTTGTTTTCTTCTTTATCCCGAACTGCCTCAGTTAGGATGTTGTGGAGAGGCTATAAAGAATTAACAAACAAACAAACAGGATGTGGGTCTGTGCACTCGTATGCATATATTTTCAACTCTGTATCCAAATACTCTGTATTGCTTTCTGCCAAGAAAACTAATGTTCTTTTGTTTCAATATTATCTCTATATATAAAATCAAGATTTAGATCTTGATATCCATCTAGATCTATAAATAAAATTAGCCATATACCTCAAGCAATTTAGGATGACAAGTTCGAGAAGTAGAACATTGCCTGTTCACCATAGTCCCATATGCCAGGTAGGTTGCTTTTCCAAGGAAAGATGTTTTGTCAGGGATTTTGGAAAGTAATTCCTGTTGGGAAGAAAACAAAATTGTTCTTAGAATTTAGGAAAACACTCTCAATTGAGGGTCACAAAGCATCCTATGTAGATTTTTAAAACATGTTAGTGTGCCATTCAACAACAATGTAACATATACTCACTGCTGTCACTTTAGCAGTTTCCTCCACTTTTGTAATATCTGGGTTAGCAAAATGGAAGGTTGTGGGCAAAAGCCAAATCAGGTCAGAATAAGCCAGTTCTCCACTGACTGCCTTGTCCTTGATGAACTTCACTGTGATCAAATTACCCGCATGCACACATGAAATCAATAGGTTTTTTCTGCAATGAATAGAAGGACACATTCTTAAAAATATCATGAATCCTCCACTAATGAAGAAACATTTTCTGGCTGATTTTTCCGTGAATCTTGATAATTCCTCTGGAAAAACAACATTAGGGGTTTCAGGAGATTAAGGTAAAAGCTAGCGTGCAATATTCAAGTTAGCTAACATACCTAGCAACAGGGATTCTTGAAACCTTATTGTAGAGAGTTGACAGATCGTTGTATGACATGCGTTGTACAAGTCGGACCAATACTATAGCCTTGCTGGAAAACATTTTATCCTGCATTTGCCAGTGCACTGAGTCTTGCAAGAGTTGCTCAGCCTATCAAGGAAAAATCAAGAACAGCATGAGCATATACTCATTCCAACTGCCAAGATCATGGTGTTTTCTGTTTGGTTTTGAAAAGGTTAAATTATTCATTTTTCTACCTGTTGTACAGGATCTCTGTTGTAATTCTCCATCACGGGCAAAAACAGACTTTTGGGAATCTCATAACGAATGCTGGTTACTTCAAGCTCTCCTTCTTGTTGTTGTTGTTGTTGTTGTTGCTGCTGCTGCTGCTGCTGCTGACCTTGGTCAGGTCTCACTTCTCTCAAGTTCAACAATTGGCTGGAAGAAAAAAACACACACACACACATACACACATAAATGACTAAATCATCAGAAAGGAGGACTCCCCCATTTGAAACACTGCAGGATTGACTCCAGAAAGTCAGAAGAAGGTAACTAGAGATAAGAGATGGTACAACCAAAGCCAATAGAAATGCACTGCTATTCCAAAACTTTGAATAAAAGAAACACATTTGAGCTATATCTATTTGCTAATTTTCTAAAAGTGTTTAATCTGAATTGCCAACATTGCATTGTTCATCCCTAAATGTAAGACTAGTGCATTCGATTCCATAGGAAATTATGGCTTTTATGAGGTTTTTCTGCAAATCAGGTCAATTGCCAGGTCATGATAAGGATTATATTATATTATTATGAGCCATGGTGGTGCAGTGGTTGGAATGCAATACTGCAGGCTACTTCTGCTGACTGATGATTGGCGGCAGTTCAGCAGTTCAAGTCTCACCAGGCTCAAGGTTGACTCAGCCTTCCATCCTTCCGAGGTGGGTAAAATGAGGGCCCAGTTTGTTGGGGGCAATATGCTGACTCCACTTAGAGAGAGCTGTTAAGCACTGTGAAGTGGCATATAACTCTAAGCGCTATTGCTATTATCACACCTAAGATATTTTTGCCATTGTCAATTAAACAAATACTGTGCAAAATCCTTAAGAGTCAGTGTTATCTTCCACAAATTTAAGGCCATAAAAATGCAGTTCCTCTTTTTTTGTTCTTAAAATGAAAAGTGGTGTTGGCAAAGATATATTTGCTGGATTGGTTTCTGTTTCCAGGCAGCCCTGGATCTGCTGGTAGATTACTAGAGTTTAGTACAGAACAAAGAAGCACAGATCTATTGAAATTACATTCTAATGTTGCCATAGTTCAGAAATGCCTTTCAATGCATAGATAAGGTGGACTAAAAAGCAAAGGAGACTAAACATAGTGCAAAATGTTTGTTTGTTTGTTTGTTTGTTTGTTTTGATATTGCTACTTACTGAGCTTTCATATATCCAGTAGCATCCTCTCCACCTATAGGGAACTCCAATACTTGTTCAGACTTGACTTGAGTGATCAGATCACCTTTGTTGTCACGCTTCACTTTGGTGACAAAGGCAGATGTGCCTTGAACAAATCTTTCTCTCTAAATAACAAAAGGAGACATATTTCACAAGGAGAAATACAATATAATCTTACAAATAGTATACTATTTTAAAGCCGTGGCTAGCAGCTCTTCCCCCCCCCCCCCACCCCATTTTTTAAAATTATATAAATACAAAAAGTCCTGGTCCAGATCAGAACTGTAACCTAAGAAATGGGGGACTCCCCTCCCTTCGTGTCCCAGTTCAAAATCTCATATTTGTAGTTTGCAAAAGGAAAGCCCTCCATTAAAGCTAAGAGACCCACACCAACATGTGAGAAAATAGATGTAGAGCACTCTTACTTGGAAGCAGTTGGGTTGCTGGAAGAGATGGAAGAAGGGGATTCCAACATTCAGCATAACTTTTTGCTTGCAGTTGTTCAGGTCCCTGATTCTGTTAAACAGGTAGATGTTGTTCTTTTTCTCCTCGTAGAGAACGTACCTGGTGTTGCACTCGCCTTCAAGCCCATCCTGCCAATATTGAGAAACTCAGTTTGTACAAGAACATGGAAACTCACATTCCCAATGAGAGTCAAAGGGAGAGATCTGCAGAAGGTTTAAATAAAATTGGGTGCATTTAAAATGTCTACAGCTTAGGGACATCATTTCCCACCCCCATTATCTGTTCCTTTACATTCTGTTCCTTTACTAACGTTTTTCAAATCTTAGCGGGAAATAGACTTATCAGTTGTTCAGGAACATCCAAAGAAGTTCCTGGACATGAATAGCCACCTATTTGAGGGAGAATAGCAATTGATACCTAAACAGATTGGTTCAAATCTGGCTATCTTGGTGTCTCTATTTCCTTGTCAGGAAAAAAAAAAAAGGTAAGCAAAGTAGCAAATTAAAAAGAGTAATCCAATATGCTTTGAAATCACATTGCTCAAGGAGGTAGGAGACACTTGATTCTTCATATGTTAATGGATTCCAAATGCTATCAGCTTTAGCCAACATGGCCACAGATGTTGTTTTGCAACATCTGGAAGGTTCCCGGATTTTTTTTAGCTTAATGTAAATTATGAAGAAAGGAGGTATTCTACTGCAGTAAAATAAAGCTTGAAAAAATGAAAAAAAATATTTAAAAAAAGCCTAACCTCCAGTACTTCATACTCTTTCTGGTACCGTGGTGTGAGAGTGAGCAGGTTCAGGAAGCCTTTCAAAATATTCCTGCAAAATGGATCTGCATTCTTTGGCATACGGATGGAGCCATATCTTCCAGTGTAGGTGAAATGGACTCTATACTTCTGGCATTCAAGCATCTGTTTATATTCCCTTCGTGGTTCTGACAAGGTACTTCTCGGGTGGAATCCAACAGCATCTCGTACTCTCATATTCCTTAACTAAGAACAAAATGGAGGGCAGAAAGTAAGAAAGGAAGCAATTGTTCAGTCTTGTGCATGTCAGTAGGAGAGATTAAAAATCATTAATTTGGAAGGGATTGTGCTTATTCCCCATGACAGAATGTGTTTTAAATTCAAACAGGAAGCAAGTAAAAAATGCACTAATATTATTTTACTGAACTGCTATTCCCCCCACTTTAAAAAAAAAAAAAAGACGATTTCTGCACTAGCCAATCATAGCAACATTCAACAATAAAAAGCCTGTTCCCATTAATGATTAATTGGCATAGTGATGTAAACCATGAGACTCTTATCCAAACTACAAATGACCTTATCCCTACTGTTCTGACAATGCCATGGGAGGATAC